ATGAGAACAAGCAAAATTCTTCAACAGCATTCATGGTCTTGTGTGATGTGCACTGAAAAGGTTTTAATTCATTTGGTGTGTAATTACAGAGAACCTTCAATAAGTAATTAAGAAGCTTTTATGGGCAATACCCTTTATATATTTATTTCACTGTCCTGAAAGTGAACAATCTGGCCTATGGTTAGTTGTATTGAGTCAACCGACCTGAATGTATGCTATCTTAAGAAATTATCATCTTCAGTTAAGCTTGGTTTTGAAAACTAGAGAAAATAATAATACCCATGTCTTAATGTAGAAATCTGGTAAGACAATGAGAATTCTTTTTGAAGATACATAATTCTTATATACACAGTTTCTTAAAGTCTGGGAAAATTCATTAATTTGACTACACTTCCAGCCATCCAATATTTTGTTAACATATTCCATATGCCTGGTGATGTTCCAGTTGCTGGGGATATAGCTACACATAAGGTAAAAGTCCCTCTTCTTTTGGGACTTGCATTCTGATGTGGAGAAATAGATATTAAATGAAAGAAAATAAACTAAGCAAATATCAGATAGTGAAAAATGCCATGCAGAGAACTAAAATAATGTCATGGATGCTTTAAACTATATGCTAAGAGAAGGTACTGAAACCCAAATGTCAAACTACCAATGCAAATAACAGAGAAGAAAGCATTCCAGATAGAAAAAAAAAAAAACAAAACAAAACAAAACAGGTAGTGTAAAGGCCACTGCGACCGGAGTGTAGTGGCTGAGAGGAAACAATGCAAGATGAAGTCAGAGAGAAAGACAACAGCCAGATCACAGAGGACTTAGTTACACAAGTTAGTTACAAAGTTGGAATTAATTCCAAGCATAATTAGAAGTTGTTGGATGGTGTTAAGGAGTGAATGATTTATGTTTTGAAACTATTACTCCATCATACTACAGAAATAGAAATGAAAGCATATGACCAAAGATGTATACAAAATGTTCTTAGCAGCTATATATATAATTAAAAGCTAGAAACAGCCCAAGTGTCCATCAACCAGAGAATGTGTATTTATTTGTATTACAAAATATTACTCAGAAATAAGAAACAACAAACTCCTGATTCATGCAGCTACATAGAGTTGTCTAAAAGACATTTTAGGGCCTCCCTGGTGGTACAAGGGATTAAGTCTCAGCACTATGAAGCTATCAGCAGCCACTGCAGCACGAGTTCAATCCCCGGTCAGGGAGCTACCCACATGGCACAGCAGACCTCTCCTGTCTCACCCACTGCTCCCCTCAGCAGTGTATTTCAGTAGGATCACCTGTTCTGTTTCCCACTCTGTCGCTAGTGGATCCTCTCACTCCCCCACAGCTCTGGCCCACACCCCAGCTATTGCATGCATAAATAAATAAATCTTAAAAAAAAATTTACTGAGCAAAAGAAACCTTGCACAAAACAGTACAAACTGAAATGGTTGCATTTATATAGATCTAGAATAGGCAGGAGCACCTTTGGTGAAAAGACTGGAAGAGTATTGTCAGGAGTAGAGGAGATGGGGTAAGAACTATCTAGCAAGTGGCATGAAGCAACTTTCTGTAGTGATAATAATGTCCTATAACTTGATAGGAGTTTGGCTTATGCAAACCATATATTTGTGAAATGCATCCAACGGTACATCTAAGATCTGAAGATTTCAATACATGTAAATTTTACCTCACAAAAAGAACTATAAAAAAATACAGAAGCACTTCTAGAATTGTGGAATAAGGACCCCTGCAAATCTGTTCCTCTATAAATGCAAAAAGAGCACTGGAAAAAAAAAATTTTCAGAACAGCTGAATCTCAGTAACAAGAGAGAACTTGGTGACACTCTTCCTTGTCTTTTATCATCAATCTCTCCTCTGCTGTGCAGTAGCCTTGAAAAATAACAGCCTCTAAAGCTGCCCCAGGACCACCTGCCAGCTTCCAGCTTCCTAAGGCTTTTGTGAGTAAAAATGTCCTCCCACCCGCCAGGCTAAGCCTCAGCAACAGTGGTCTCTGAGTAGACATGAGAGGGCAGCACGCTGGTTGAATTATCTTAGAATTGTTTGAAGATATTGTACTCAAAACTGCAGAAAATTTTCTTGCACTATGTGCTGGAGAAAAAAAGCACTAGACCAACCAATGGGAAACCTCTCCACTTCAAGTGATACCCTTTCTGTCAAATTATTATGAATTTATCATTCAGGGAGGAGACTTATCAAATCAGAATAGGAGAGGAGAGAAAGTACGGATGGCAAAAACAAAAACTTGCAGGTGAAAATTTCTATACTGATCAGGAGGGTTTACTGCGCATGGCAAATGCAGGCTGCCATACAAATGGTTCTCAGTTCTTTACCACAAGTATCAACTCCTCATTTGGATAGGACACATGATATCTGGTCAAGTAATTAAAGAAATGGGTGTAACAAGAATACTGGAAAATGCAACAGAGAGAGCTGAAAAACCTTCCAAATTGTGCACTGCTGCAGAATGTGAAGAACTGAAGGAAGGAGGTGAATGAGGATATACTCCCAAAAGATTGTTCTGATGACATTCATCCAGATTTTCCTCAGGATGCAGATAAAGATCTAAAAGATGTAAGTAAAATTTTATTAACAGTGGAAGACTTAAAATAAAAAACTGTAAATACTCTTTTTCAAATCCCAAAATTGGGAGATGGCCATTAAAAAATATACAAAAGTTGTAAGATATGTGACAGTTCAAAGACTGTTACTGAGAGAGCAGACAGATCCAGGCTGCAACATGTAGTTTTAACCTTGTGCTTAATACTGGGGCCTGTCAACAGAAGATGTCAAATTGGCAAGGAGCTAGTTGTTTGGAGGCTCTTGAAATAGACCCATAGAGTACCAAAGCACTGTACCAAAGAGCTCAAAGACAGCAGACACTAAAACAAGCACTGGATGACCATGAGAAAGCTCAGAATGTAGCCCCACAAGATAAGGCTATCCAGGCCTAAGCAGAATTGCAGAAAGTCAAACTAAAGATAAAGGCACAGAAAGATAAAGAGAGGCACCATAATCAAAAATATTTGTATAATAAGGAATTCAGCTTGCTTAAATGTATACATTGATCATACACAGGCAATATGACATCTTATGGGCTTTTTAGCCATTATATATGATCCCTAATGTGTTGACACTTCAGTTCTCCATTGCTTACAGTTTAGGAATACTGATATGGGTTCACTTAATTAAAGAGTGCTACAAAAAACACAGAAGTTGATTTTTTTAAAAACTGGCAATCTGCATTATAAACATAGACCAATAGTGTTCAATCTATTTTTAAACTCGGAAAGACATGATGTATTGGATAAACAAATGAAAGGTTAAGCTTGTAAAAGAAAAAGAACAGCTTCACAACGAAGTAGCTTTGAAAAACTGCCTAGAACACAATGGAGAGACAGGATGGGTTTGGAGCTCCCCAACTCATCCCTAGAGTATTATCATTATTGACTTTTCTGGAAACCTCCTTAATGACTCACAGAGCTTGTATTTTTTTTTTTATGGTTTTAAAAAAAATGTACTTAGAATGTGTTGGCTGCATTCAGTTTAGGTGATCACAATTTTGTTGGCAACATCCAAAGGATCGCAGTCAGGAGCCAGTCAAAATATGCCTTCTTCCCTCCATCAGGTCTGACTAGGGCTGACTAGGTCTGCCCACGTCAAGTGTCACAGAGCTTCTTCACAGCCAGTGTGACCTGTGCTTATGGGCCTGGGCATCTATCATGAACACAAGTGCACTATTGCCTTCTACCACCTTCATAACTGGTCATAGTGGTTAAGCTTGTTTCTCTTTGGAGTGTTCTTCACTTCGGCCGTGTCTTGGGCTGTTGGAAGGTGGTGATGCACAACCTTTTTCTGCAGCTGTGGATGGAGTCGTAGTCTCCAAAGCTTCTGATTTGGCTTCTGCTTTGGAAGGGGCAGAGGTTCCTTCTTTGCTTTTGGTGCCATTATCATGAAAAGGGTATCTGAGACCAGGAATGGTCCTTATTTGACCTGCTTTGAGGTCACTTGGTGCTAAACCCTAAGACTTTTACTGAAAATAATCAGTAACAATTGTTTAACAAGTTTTAACTACCTGAGATGACTATACCTGCTGCTTCAAATCAGCAGCTGACTAAAAATTTTAAAGGAAAAACAAGGAATTTTGAAAAGCTCCAACTTATTCCTAAAAATCTACAGGTCCACCTAGATGTATAGGGTTGTATTTATACTCAAAAAAGATCGGAGAAGGTCTTAATTTCTTACTTCAAGTTGACAGTGAGGCTCTTTACCCACAGGAAAAGGCAAAATGATAAACTGCTGACCCTAGCATTGAAGATATATCAATAGCTTAACACATACACAGAACCTCTAAGTAAAGGCTGGGGAAACATTGGTTCAGTGCAGTTAAGGAAATTTTCATCCAATCATTAGTTGATGATTATGCTAACTGAACAAAGAGTTCAGTGACTACACACACAGTAACTTCCTCTTTTCTTACAGTGTTATTGTAGGGCTAAAATTAGAAAGTATATGATATTCTGAAATCCAGAATGTGAATAAATATAAGACATTCTTATTCATGCCTGATACAGTATTAAGGGATACTCATTAAAAAAGCTACTTGGAAATCTAACTTGAGTATTAAGCTGAGATTTCTATTTTGCAGGTGGAAGATGATAATTAAAGTTCCATTTTTAAGAGCTATTGCCATATGCAATAAAGGTCTGTTTTTCAAGAAACAGCTCATGTTTTGGAAAGTGAAACCTAATTCTCCTTATGGTGGGGGGGCGGGGGGGAGGGAAATTCCGAAACTCTAAAGTCACAGTAAATATAAATAACACCTTTCATTTTGCAACACGGGGTTTCCCCAAAAGTGAAAGGCAGGTTTTGCCAAGTCAATATATTATTATCCAATCAGAGTTAGCAGGCCAAGGACCGCTGCAGATAAATACAGTATCCTACCCCAGGCTTTCTGAGATATTCTTCAAGTGCTAAGCCACCTAAGCCAAGTGCAAGAGGTAGCTCCAGTTGTAGCACCATGAGTCCACGTGCTCTTCTTATTCTCTGCCTTATCTTTCTGACTCTGAATGGAACTCAAGGTAAGGAATATCAAGGGATATTTAATTTGTAAGGTCAGATATAAAGGTCAGGATTGGGTATAAATTCTATAAATACAGAAATAGTGTATTTGCAGAAGTTTTACAGCCTGTCTATGAAGGGCAAATGAGCACATAGTTCCTCTGGCTAGAGTTTACAAGTCAGAGAAGCAGGTGAAATGAAAGAGGGTAGTTGTAGAATGAGAACAGAAAAGACGAAAGGAAGGACAGAGAAAATGTGTGGAAAGATAGGGTGAGACATTTTAACCACATGAACTATGCTCAAGAGTAAGATCTTGTAATTAACAAATTGTAATGCCTTTCTTGCAGACAATGAACTAATTAATCAGTTAGAGCCGTGTTATAAGTCACCTCACCCCTTCTCCGATTACATGGCTACATGATAACAAAGACTATAGGTTCTGCTAGAGTGTTAATCAATACAGACTGAATGCCTAAATTAAAACCGTGCTAACTGCTCATGCTATGCTTTTTTCCCCACAGGAATACCTCTGTCTAGAACTATACGTTGTTCCTGCATCAAGAGCAGTGATGGACCTGTTCCTCTAAGGTTGTTAGAAAAACTTGAAATGATTCCTGCAAGTCAATCCTGTCCAGATGTTGAGATCATGTAAGTAAATGTTCACTTCCCTGGTTGTAATCATGTATTAAATAAGTCGTGATCAAAAGAGATCAGTACAGGGTTTGAGATGATTCTAGGGCTTCTGTATAGCAAAAGGAAAATGTCTAGCATGAAATTTAAATGTTTGATTTAAAGATTATATATTCCATCTGTTTTATCAGCCCAACATTGTTTCAATTTTTTTCACTTTTACTTTTGTAGTGTCACAATGAAAAAGACCGGGGAGAAGAGATGTCTGAATCCACGTTCTAAGCAAGTCAAGAATTTACTGAATGCATTTAGGATGAAAAAGTAAGTGTGTCCTTACTTGCAGAAGAACTTATTTCAGAAATTTAATCTAATGAAATTAGGAACATTTATATCAGATTTTCCTATGGATTCCTTAAAGTGTTAACCACCACACCATCTTCTATCTCCACTTATTTATATACTGAGGTGCCCTGGTGTGTGGTATCAAAAGTTACCCCAATTACCTGTCTAGGAGTGTTAGTAGGTCACTGGGCAGAGCTATAAAAACCAAAGTAAAGCTGCCAAACTGCCCCACCCTTTTCCTGTTCTTCATCCACAAGGATTGCTTAGCAGCCAGAATGGCACCACACCCTTCACTAAGGATTTTGGATTATCTATTAACTAGGTAAGCTCCAAGCAGAAACCAGAGTGAAGCCAGAGTTGAGAATACCACACTTTGACACTCTCTTTCTCTTTTACAGGTCTCAGTGATCTCACTGATCACAAAGAGAAGCATTATGGCACCAGGAAGAATGGACCTGAGATGCCTCTGCGGTCATTTCCCTATACACATATATGTCATGCCCTAGCTTCTCTGGAATGCAGTTCTCCTAAAAGGTGGCCAACCACAGTCATCAAATTAGCTTCTACTGCTCCTGCAAGGAGGTAGATGGTTCATTATCCTGAGCTGTTCAGCAGTAACTGTCCTGACATGATAGCATAAGCTATGCTGAGGTGCTACAATCTTTGTGAACATACCAAGGCCTAGCCTTACTACTGGTACTTTTCTTGCTTCTCCTACTTCTAAAGGTTATTTAGGGATCTGCTACCACTATGCTTATCAGAGTTCTTAGAATCTCAAGTAATTCAAAGGTATGCAACAGAAGCAAAAGCTTTTTAAAGAAAGGTCTTTACTCTATGGGCTTCTACTGCCACACTCCCAAGGCGCCCACATTTTCCCAGTGATTTTATATACATAATTCCAAATATGTTTTGTATGTATGTAGAAATTTTAGAAAATGTGAAATTATTTTTAACAGAAAGTTTATACAAAATAGCATTCTTAGGTTATATATATTTTTGTAATGTTTTTAGTGTTTAGGAAGTAACCTGTGTAAGTACTACACATGCTGACCCACAGGAGAAATGTTTAAATCTAGATATAACTCTGTATGTTTTTTATAAAACAAATGCGTTCAATGTTTTTAATAATGAAAATAATGTGCTCTGGAACATCTTAAGACAGAATATTGAACTGCTGAGTGAACAAAAAATTAATAAAGTAATTAAAGCTAATATGAAGTGTCTGGTGAGTCAATTGACTGGGAATATTACTATTTAAGTAGATTATGCTGGAAAATCTATAGCCAAAAGAAGAATTTGGGGTGTGTAGAAGGCAAATGAGTTTGAGAACTACCATACTCCTTCCAATTTTAGTCTCCTGAAAGGTCCACCATGCAAGATCACTACAATGATGGGGCAACATCTGCTGCCCTGAAACAGCAGAACTTGGCCTGAGTTCCAGCCCCTTAGAGCCAACTCTCTACAAGACATCTCCACCTGCATATCCCAGTGAAACTTAAACCTGGGAGTAATTCTATACTTCTCCCTTACCGCCCACATCCAATTAGTCACTAAGAAGATAGCCACAATGCATTTAGTGGATAAAGTATATGAAGTATAAAGAAGTTCCCTAAATAAAATATAGACAACTAGCTTAATATACATAAATTCCAAATACTAATTGTATATATATAGGAAAATCAGAAAATGAAAGAGTATACAAAACAGAATTCTTAGATTATATATATTTTTATAAAGTTTCCAGTGTTTATGAATTAACTTGTATAGTTAAGTACTACACAGGAATGACCCATAGAAGAAATGTTTAAATCTAGATATTAATTCGTATTAAATAGGAATTTCAAATTAAAAAGCACAAGCTTTTTGAAAAAGACGTTCAACCTTATTAGTAATCAGGGAAATATGCATTTAAATCATTACAGGATACCATTTCATACTATCAGACTGATAAAAAAAATTTTTTTTAAGGAAACCTGATATTTTTATTTATTTTTTTGAACTCTGTACTTTTTTATAAAAAGTCAGTATTTAGTACTTAAAATGATATATTGTACTCTTCCTTGAATAATTCTGTGGGTAGCCTTTAAAAAAATTTTATTATTAATGCAGTACCATTGTTTTACATCCTTGTTGATATTTTGACAATATAGTCCTCTGCCATAGTTCCTTGTGTTCTCCCTCCCCCCACCTTCTCATCCCTTCCCTTCCATCTCCCTCTTGGTTGCCTCAAATCTGTGGCCAACTTTCAAGGGTTAGTTTTGAAGCTCAGACTAACAAAATTTTTTGAGTTGGATAATACCATTGGTTAGGGGGTGTGCAGAGTAATAAGGAATGTCTTCCCCTGCTGGTGAAAGAGAAAATAGCTGTGACTACATGGAAAAAGAAAACCATATGGCACTGTCTTATAAAATTTAACATGTGCACACTCTATTTCCTAACAAGTCTACTACCATGTTGTAATAAATGTAATTCTACTACCTATATTCTGCAGATAATTCTTCCATAGGACACACATAAAAGAGTTATAAAAGCATTATTAATAATAGCAAAACTCTGGACACAATCAAAAAAAAAGAAAATGTAAAACAGGGTATATAAGTTCAATGGACTATTACATAGCTATGGAAATAAAGTACAACTATATATATCAATATGAATCTCAAAACTAATCTTTGCACAAAGGAAACAAGTCACAGGAAAGTTCATGCAGCCTGATTTCATTTACCATAAAGTTTGAACAGGCAAATTTGCATTTGTATTTAGGAGTGAAGTCATATATGATGAAAATAAAAGAATGATTCCCATAAAATCCATGCTCTCCCCCTTCAGATGTAATCTTAGTGCAGCCCATTTCATTCCTACCATTCTCCCCTCCACCTTTCTTTTTCTTTTTTTTTTTTTTGCCTTTGTTACACATGAATCTCCTTTGCATTTTATTTTTTATAATTTTCTTTTTTTATTTAAATTTTATTTTTATATTCCCCATACAATTACAACCCCCTTATTTTGACCCCAATCCCTCCTTTCCCCGCCCCCCACCCCCCATAGAGTGTCTCTGGTTCATAGTTGTTTGTTGATTTTGATATTTTCTTTCTTATAGTTATTCATTTTCCTGGTCCCTTATTTAAGTATTCTAGATTCCTGCTATGAGTGAGACCATCTGGTATTTTTCTTTTTCTTTTTGGCTTATTTCACTGAGCATGAGCCCTTCCAGCGCCATCCATGTTGCTGCAAATTGCATGTGTTTATCTTTTTTGAATGCTGAGTAATATTCCATGGTGTATATGTACCACATCTTCTTGATCCAGTCATCTATCTTTGGGCATTTGGGTTGTTTCCAAATCTTAGCTATTGTGAATAGTGCTGCTATAAACATATCCCCTCCACCTTTCCACTCTGGTCACACAAGCCTCCTGCTTCTCAAGCACAGCAAACGTATTCCCATCATTCATGCCTTCACTTTATCAGGTCTCTGCTCAACTATCACCTTTTCAGAGGAGTTTTTCTTGAGCACTCTGTTGAAAGTCACACCATTTATTGATATATGACTCTCAGTCTCATTACCCTCCTTTAATTTTGTTTTTATCCTTTATTGCTACATATATAGTGATATATTTAAACACACACACAATTTATAGTCTATCCCCACAGTTTTTTTTAAAATATTTTATTTTATATAATTCTTACATCATTTTCCATTTTTGCACAATGTATGCATTTTCATTTCGGTTATATTCCCCATACAATTCCCACCCACCTTATTCTGACCCTAATCCCTCTTCTTCTCTGCCCCTTCCTTCCCCCCCCCCCATAGTGTGTCTCTGGTCTATAGTTGCTTGTTGATTTTGATTTTTACTTGATTACAATTAGTCTTTTTCCTGGTCCCTTATTTAGGTTTTCTAAATTCCTGCTATGAGTGAGACCATCTGGTATTTTTCTTTTTCTTTCTGGCTTATTTCACTGAGCATGATCCCTTCCAGCTCCATCCATGTTGCTGCAAATTGCATGAGTTTATCTTTTATGATAGCTAAGTAATATTCCATTGTGTATATGTACCACATCTTCTTGATCCAGTCATCTATCTTTGGGCATTTGGGTTGTTTCCATAGCTTAGCTATTGTAAATAGTGCTGCTATAAACATAGAGGTACAAGTGCCCTTTGGAATTGATGTTTCTGTGTCCTTTGGGTAAATACTTAGGAGTGGGATTGCTGGAGCATATGGAAGCTCTATCTTTAGTAAATTAAGGAATCTCCACACAGCTTTCCATAGTGGTTGGACCATTTTGCACTCCCACCAGCAATGTAGGAGAGTACCTTTTTCTCCACATCCTCGCCAACATTTGTTGTTGCTAGTTTTTTTAATATGTGCCATTCTCACTGGTGTGAGATGGTATCTCATTGTAGTTTTCATTTGCATTTCCCTGATTACAAGTGATGTTGAACTTTTTTTCATATGCCTGTTGGCCATATGCATTTCCTCTTTGGAGAAGTTTCTTTTTAGCTCTTCTGCCCATTTTTTAACTGGATTATATACTTTGTTTTTGTTGAGTCTCTTCAGCTCTTTGTAGATTTTTGTGATCAGTCCTTTATCATTAGTGTTATGTGCAAAAATTTTCTCCCAGTCTGTAGGGTTTCTCTTTGTTTTGGTTATTGTCTCTTTTGCTGTACAGAAGCTCTTTAATTTGATGTAGTCCCAGCTGTTTATCTTTGCCTTCACTATCACTGCTTTGTATTCCCACAAAGTTTTATAACACCGGGACTCTGTCTGTCATAAATACCACTATGTCACAGTCCGCTCAGTAAATACTTGCTGACTGACTGAATAAATGAATTACTGACATTTACCATAGCCAGAACCCTTTAGAACAAGAACCCTTGTTCTCTACAAGGATAGGATGACTTTTCAAAGACCTTAGTTTTTAAACCTGATGAGAAACCAATCTTTGAAATAAGGATGAGTTTACAAGTTGCAGCACTAGATAGGCAAAGAAAGATGACCTTCTCCCATTACAATGTCCAGACTTGTGATGACACATAGTTCAGGATGTCCAGGCATGTGCTGACAAAATGTTTACTAGACTATGAAAGCACCTAAGTGGTGAGAAAATTAAGGTTTTCAACAGGTTTTTCTATAACTTTAAAAAAAAAAAGTGTTTCAAAACTAAGTTGAATGCTTTAATAGCAGCAATAACTGTTAAGAGGAGGGGAACTGCTTTCAAAATAAAAAATAACTTGTCTTATTTTAATTTGTGATAGTGACAAGCATGTTGTTTACTTATTGTGCAACATTTTCCCAGGACACCCAAATCTAATTAGAGCAAAACAGCAGGACCATTTCATTTACTAGGCTCAGATGTAAGACAGAAACTTTTCCCCAGTTAAATTTCAAATAGGAAAGGGGGAGAAAGAAACTGAGTAAGTTCAACATCAAACTAGCTTTGGGAAGGTTAAAGCTTTAGGCAAACTAGCTTTGCAATGCCATCACCCTCAGAACAGAAGATTTTTTATCTGGGATGTATGGTTTTTAGAGCTCAATAACTATGAATACAAACTGGAAATGAAAATGGTTTTAAGTGGGATTTTGTTATATATTAACATTTGTTTGCTATAAATGTAAGTCCTTTTTGATTTCAAGTATTTGAAAATACTACACAGTGAAGGAGGAAAAGGAAGGAAGAACGAACGTGGAAGGATGGAGGGAGAAGGCAGAGGAAGAAGGAAAGAAGAGGTAGAGAACGGAGAAGGAAAAGCAGCAGCACCAGTAGTGACAATGTCAGAAGCTGCCACTACCCAAGCCATACTGCAGGCTAGAGGCCACATGAAAGAGTTTTCAGGGGCCATTTAAAATCCTGCATTATAATGCTAGAGAAAAAGGCACATGGAGACCTGTGATGCCATGTTGGACACCCAACTCTGGTCAAGCATTCAGATGACTCTAGGCCCAGGAACTATCTAATTGCTGCTGGAGAAAAAACACTATTTAACAAATTTGGGTGGGAGAATTAGATATTACTTTGGGGCTCCAGTAACTTAAATCCACAATCTACATAATATTAGGCAATAATTCAGTGCTTGAAATAATCAACTATAGAACTACATATTTATGGAGTAAACAGACGTATTTTTTTTTAAACAGATGTCTTTTAAAGAAGAAAAACTTCTAAACAATTAAATGTAAAAAATTAAAATAAAAGGAAGGCA